GTGTGCTCCCTCCTCTAGTCTGCCATTCAACACATTACAATTCTAGTAAGAGGGCCAAGGACTCGTCTACAAAAACTGGGCATAACTGTTGGAGGAAAGGAAGATGTTGATCTCCAAATTATGAAGGCTATTTATATAGGAGATAAGCCTTTACTTATTCCAAGTGTCTTGGTATTGATAATTTATGACACCCCCTGCAGAAGCTTCTATGATGCTATATAGAAACGTTCCCTGACCACCAGCACATCTGTCCTCTATTTTTAATGCTGGTTGGAGCCTTTAGCTGCACCAGCGAACAGCTTGCTACTAGGGTATCTACAAGCATCAGTAAAGATTAAATCTACTCTGTGATCTTGAAAAACAAGAAAAAAGGAAAAATGCCTGTTTTCCTTTTAGAACACTATCCTTAGATAGTCATTAATTATTGTTGTTATCTTTAATACTCATCAGACTGTCTGAAAGGCATTGTAGTCATCAACTGATCATCATAAAAACCCTGTGAAATAAGTGCTGTCAACTAGCTAATGACTAATGTGTGTTTGGAAATGCCTTGTGCTAAAATACACCAAAAAAAACTTCGACAAAAAATGTATGAAATTGCACCCACCAGTGATTGAGGTGGGAGGAGAAGGTTGTTATTTCACACTGTGTAGCTTGAGGTTAAAATTGATACCTGGAGACCTGTATGACAGACTGAGAAGCTTAGGTTCCCAATTCAGTTGTAATTCTAAGCTTGTATCTTATGCAATCCCCTTCAGGAAATGAAAGCTTGCAAAAGGAGTCACCTAAAGCAGAAAATGCCAGAAGTGAGGTCGGCCATGTGACTTGTTAATACTGGGCCCTTTTGTATGTTTATGATGATACCTATTTTCTCCCTGTCTTGCTCCTTGTACGAAGAATAGAATATTGTGTCCCTCTTTATCAGTGAAGCTTGGAGTTTAGAAAGACTGTTGCACAGAAACCATAGAATCATGGAGCAGGAAAGGAGATGCAGAGTGATTAAGGTCAAAAACCTCCATCTCTGCTTTTAGATGCCACACTTGAGCTGCTGGGACTTGTTTCTTTCTGAGTACTTGATACTTCAAAATGTTCAGTGTGCCTTCTGCACAAACAATGACAATCAGTTGCTGCTTGTAAGTTGTATCTGGGACTACTTGGGAGTCCAGTTCTCAGATGTAACAGAGATTCAAGGTAGGCACCCCGTAACGGGGAACCCAGACTGAGTGACTGCTTCTGAGGAGTTTGTGACCTGTCCAATATTACTTTGAAATACTGAGAGGGGAATGGGTGGAACCCAGTTCTCAACGGTACAGGTGAAACATCCAGATCATTGGTTGTTTCTCAGCATTTCACAAGCCTACCTTTCTTCAGTGTTCCATCCATGCCTTCTGCAACAGATGAGGCAGCAGTTTGAAATACTCAGTACAGATCCATGTCTAGAGACAGATTAGAGACAGATTTGTTTCATGCATGGAGTAAAGCTGGGGCCTGAAAGATTTCAAGCTTGTGATTTTGTTGTTTGTGTTTTTCTGTGCACAACACAGAGGGAAATTAAAATTGCTGGAGGAATGTAGCTAGTTACTGCATGGCACACAATGCATCATATCTCTCTCCCCCTCCCTCCATGTCTCCCCCCCACCTTTAAGAAACAGGAATGGCTTATTTGTGAGCATTTATACCGATTTTCAGCAAATTTCCTTTATACATTAAAAAGTAAAATGCCCTGAAAGAAAGGAATTCACACAGATGCATTATCTGTATTATGAAAATTTTCTGTCCAAGAGTTCACAAATTTGAGGAGATGTGTTATTCTGTGTTAAGATTTTTCTCACAAATATAATTCAAGATGCACTCTAGATGTAAGTAAGTACTATGAAGTCATGCTGGTTATAAAAATATGTGTTTTTCACTGTAGGTGAGTGCTCAGGAACTACCTTTCACATGTCATCATCAGCTGAAAAAGAAGACATCAAGGATGCCATTGAAAACTGTGAGGTGCAGGTATGTAAAACCAAATATTTTGCATTAGAATAATTTCAGAGGGCGTTCTAATGTGGAATAAGGCAGGCTTCTTGTTTGCGTTGGGAATACAGGACAGGGCTGGATAGAGGGATCTGGATTCTTCTGTAACACCTCAAGGGACAGTGGAGCAAATTATTTCCACCCCACACCAAGGCACCGTGAAAGACGGACATGTTTAATTTTAACACGCAGAGCACAAACCATAAGCCTATTGGAAGGTGGTAGTAGTTGGGCAATGAACTTCAGAATGGAGAGGCTGAGACAAATGGTGGCTGGCTGAGGTGCTCCCTCCCTGTTCTGAAAGGAGCAGTTTTTGCAGAGGGAGAAAAAGGTCTGGCTAACAAGAAAAGAGAGTGAGAAGTTGGATGGTCTTAGCCTGTTGGAACACCAAGGCTGCAGGCCCTATTTAGAAGAGACCCCACAAGCTAAGGAGGCAGGTGGAGAGGGAGCATATTGGGAGGAGTGTAACACATAACAGGAGCAGTCAGAACTGTTGAAGAACAGAGCATGGGATCAGGGGTTGGGGTGGGGTTGAGGCATGGTATGATTTTCATACAGGTTTGGGTTCCTGATTTTCAGGAGAAGGGAAGGAATGGACAGGTTTCCCTAATAAATGCTTATCTCTGGAGCTTGGAATGGAATTTAATATTTCTGAGTCTTGGGTGAAGAAATCATCTTAACTTAGCCAGTTCTTCTTGTGGTGGACAGTAAAAACTTGTCATGTTCATTCACATTGTATTAACTCATCTGGCAAAGGGCCGTAAACTGCCAGACAGTAGAGAATGATGGAGGAAGGAGAGTGGGAAAATGTAGACAGTTGTAATGAAAAATGCTATTAAAGCAATGAAATGTGAAAAAATAAATTGCTTTGTGACAAATGCCACTAGTTACAGAAAGCAGCTAGGCTAAAAGGTAAAAGCAACCCTAATGTCCAGACAAATCAAATCCAAGAATAACTGTTGCGTCTCAAGTAAATCCTTCCATTTTTAAGAAAATGATGATTCAGTGAACCTTTAGTTTAGTATCCCTTGATTTTTATTATAAACAATTGCTTTCAAAATGTCTTATTTCTGTTATGATAGGATGAGTTTGCAACAGAAATTACCTAGATTAACTGTGACTTCCTTTTTCTTGGTAATCTTTCTGTCTGTACCTGTTTACTTAAGGATAAATATATTTTAGAAACTACCAACTTGATAGAAAAAACAGCACATGAAAATCAGACTGACAAAGCAGAAATTTCACATCAGGAAGCCCTAGCAGAAAATGGGGAATCGCACAGTGCTGACAAGCAGTTAAGCCCAAAACCTTGGGAAGAAAGATATGAAAGACTGTGGGTTGAAAATGAGAAAAGGGAATTGAAAACAAATTTTAAAAACATTACAGCAGAACTGAAGCAGCTGTTTGGGGAAATTAATGAAACTGGGAAAACTACCTCCCTTGTGGAAGAAATGTCAGAAGATGGCTTCAGAGAAGAATTAAAGAGTTCTCGTGTTGTTTCATCTTGTGCGACAGAATCAAGTAGTAAGCTAGAAAGTAAAGCTAAATTTGGAGATATTAAACCTATGCTAGGTGGAAAAGAACCCAAAATAATTCCGAGTCTTTGTGTTCTTCCTGATCAAAATAACTTAAATGCAAACGCAGAAGGTACCTGGAGTACAGATGAAGATGACAGCACAAACAATACAGATAATACAAAGGTGCCTTTAGCCAATGGAGGGGAAAAGAAAATGTCTACTATGGAAATGGAAAAGAATGAAAATGGAAGTAGTAGAAATGTAGAGGGAAGTCCTGAATGCTCCCTGAGACATAGCTTAAAAACAAGTATTTTGGATGAAGTTTCTAATATTATTCCTAAAATAAGACCTGTTTCTACAAGTGATGAAAATGCACTTTTTCTAACAGAAAGGAAACTTGGAAAAGACTCTGGATTTAATGATGGTGTTCCCAGAGACTACCTTATTGACAATAATAAAATAGGAGGAACAGATACTGACAGTCTTTTCGCAAATGCTCAGCAATCATGTGGCATGCTGAGAAGGAATCTTGATGAAGAACTAAAACAAGATATGGAAAGATTTAAGAGTAAGGTAGGAATGCTGCAAATAGTATTCCTCGCTTTGGAGAAAGAGAAGGTGCAGCTGCAAAAAGAGGTAGAAGTTCACCTGCTACTCCTTATTCTTTAGTCTTTCTCCATATCAATGGTCCTGTTCATGTTAGCTATGAAAATGCACACAATTACATAAGTTCTGACACTGAATCAAAGAATGAAAATAGCTTCTGAACAGGGTCTTGACTAATCTATCAATTTGCTGTGATTTCTGCATGGTATGTCTTCATTGCCCTTCACTAAAATTCCGGTTTGCTGTGAAACCATTTCTGCTTGTGGTTTGGGATCACCGCCATTAAGAAAGCAGTATTCCAGCACACTTCCATTGATCCATTGATTTTTTTTTTTTCTGTGTTTTTTACAACTAACATTGTGGAGTCCTTCTAACTCTTTGTCTATCAGTAACACTTTCACTTTTTTGTTGATGTTTTAAGATACACTATCGTTTTCTTTGTAAGAGCTATGCTTTTGTTATATCTTTAATCGTGACTGAATTCAAAGTACTTTCTATGACTTGATATGCTTTGTGGTGTAATTTTGTGAAAATGCTTCTCTAAGAATTAATTTTTTTTTTTTATTTTACATTATTTCAGAGGTAAACCCTGAATTGTTCTATCTTGGATATGATGTTTCTCTCTTCTAGAAATACTGAGAGATATATAAAGCTTAACTTTCTTTTTATAGGTTGAGAAGGAAAAAAACAAAGATGGATGTTTCAAAACACAGGCCATGGCAAAACAGGAAGAACTTGATAAATTAAATACACCAGCAGGCAACGTTACTAATCAGCAAATGAAACAAAAGCTTACTGTAAGGAAGAATGATTGTTTGAAAATGGAGAATGAAAGCACTATAGAAGAAAAAGACAAAAAGAATTTCTCATCTGAGGAGAGATCAAAATTGATTCAAATACCAATAAAAGGGTAAACTAAGGAAATAATCTCTAATTCTTATTTGTAGTACTCCTTAAGTATCTTCTATGTTTTCTAATATTGTAGTAGTTGAAGTAGTTTTCTCAATGCTGAAAGCCATACTGAGTAGTCTACTGCTTCTCAAATGTTTAAGAAATTTTTTTTTCCCCAAAAAACTAAGCTTATAATGGAGGTTCAGTTATTGCCTGCTTTAAAAAAAAAAAAAAGTGATAAACCAAATTCCTGTGGATTTCCTTGTCAAATACTGAGGCAAAACCATCTTCAAAACAGGAGTTGAAGACTGAAAAAAACAGTTATTTTTGTAGGAAATGGCCATCCAGAAAAGAAAAGTAGGAACTTGCAGTTTGCTTTCTCCCTTTTCTAGATGGTTTTAGTGATCTCCATGCAGTTGGTGTTTACCTTTTTATTAAGTTCAGATGCTCTTTGTCAGGAAAAGGTGATACTACCAAACCAACCTCAAAAGTTTGAATATTTTTATGTAACCCTAAGCAGGAGTTTTTTCCTGTCTGTCCTTCAAAGGAATCTCTGCTCTAGATACTTCCTCTAATGGGGATATTAGATATGTTCCAGCTTACCTGAATCTAGCTCGGGTTCCATGTTTCCCCCCCGATTCCTAGGGGAAGGATACTTGGGAAGGATACTCCATGATCTTTGGAGTCAAATCTGTATTCTATCGTAGATATTTTTCATCTCACTTGTTTCTGGACATCATCTTAAGTATGTCTGTTTCACAGAAATATTTTATGTAAAGCTACTCAGATAGTGATTTTTTTTTTTTCTTTCTGTTTAATGTAGTAAATTTGCCCTGAATGCCAAAGTTGCAAAGAAAAATAAAAGACAGACTTCAAAGCAGAAAGTTAATCAGCAGATGAGCTCTTCCAGTGGGAATAAGTTTCAAGTACTGGATGATAGCACTTTCAGTGAAACATCTCAAGATGAAGGAAGGTACTGAATATAAGGAGTTATAAATAAAATTTACTTAATGGTAAAAGCTGACCTGAAAGCTAAAGGTAAGTCTTGTAAATCTGATGTGTACAGTGATTCTTGTTCTCTCATGTGACAACACTACCTGATGGCCTTTGTGATCAAAAACACTTCCTTTTTGCTTAGAGTGCTTTGAACATACTAGCCAAGTTAATTATAAGGTCATATGTGCACAAATTCTGAATTACTTGAGTGTGTGCATGTGCATAAATATATGTATTTCATATTTTTAAAAAGGGAGAGGAGAGAATTATAAAAGAGCAAAATTACTCTTTCACTGCAGGCATCTCAGTTTTTTCTGCCCTTTTTTTTTCCCCAGCTGTGTCCCCTCCCAGCTTCTTGCCCACCCCAAACTTAATTGTGTGGGAGGCAAAGTGAGAAACAGAAGGTGTTGACACTGTACAAGCACTGTTTAGCAATAGCTAAAACGTTGGTGTGTTATCAACACTATTTTGGTCAGAAATCTAACACTGTGTGGGCTGCTATGAAGACAATTAATTCCATTCCAGCCAAACCCAGTATTGTAGAGAATGCAAAATTATGTTTCTTTGACCTGTAAGAGAAGAATTCTTAATACTGAAGAGAGCTAAACCTCTAGTATTAAACTGGGAATGCACATAACTGTACATCTACATATCTGTAGCTGTAAGTTTCCTATAATTTTCGGTGAAATGCAGAGAACAGTTATTTCAACTATTTGCTTAATCTTTTGTGGAAAAAGTAGCCTTCTGATAGACATAATAGTACACAATTTTTTTTTCAGTCTTCAACTACATCTAACAAAATTCTTACATTAAATTTTATTTTAATTCACTTCTGAAATTAAGTTCTCGGAGCAACTTTAGATATTGTTCATAAAGCAATATAAGCATTCTGGTACTGAAATATATTTGTGTTTTCCAGACCTGCAGCAAAAACAGGGAGTGAAAAGAGCAAGGTACTGTAAAGTTAGTTTCTTGATAAGTAGTTTGTATCAACTTTTTATCACTTAGACGGGAACAGCATTTATGTAGTGATCAACCGTATGCACAAATTGCTGCTAGTATGCAATTTTATCATATTTGAGCAAAATCTATGGACTGTGAGTGGGGGAGTAAATCATTCATGCATTTGAAATCATCTGTAACACTGTATAGCTGTATACAGAAAATACTGTATTGTTTGTAGGTCAGCGTACAAACCGATGACCTTGATTTAACTCACTCATCTGACACAACTTCAGAGGATGTTGAATTACCAATTTCAACCTACAAAGAGGCTATGTTGCTGTTAGAACAACTTAGTGTGGATCATACGGGTATGTTTTCAAGTCACTTCGTCTTCAGCTGTTAAAAGTTCCTCTTCTAAAACTTGATTTCTTTATATGCACTCCTAGGTAGTTCAGTTTTATATTTTAATATTTCAATCTAATATTTATTTATGATTAGAAATCCCCCTCAAAAGATGTGAAATTCTCACCTAACCTTAGATGTCTGCTTGTATTGTCAGCAAACGTGCCTTATTTTGTCATTGGTTCTCTGTCTAGTCAGAGCTGGAGAAGCAGGTTCTTGCAAAGTACGGTTCAGCTTCTTCTAATGCAGTCATCAAAAGTTAGCAAGATCTTCTTTCTCCTCTTTCTCCTCTTTACATCCCTCCAATAGCTAATGACAATTAGTGCAGCAAAATAACAGCTTTGCTTAAATATGTATATATTTTATATGTATGTGTGTATATATATAAAAATCAGTTGTCATAAGATGCTTGCATATATACGCATAGCATTACATAAACATAAGGGTCACTTACTAAGTGTTAAACTATGCTAAAATTTCATTAGGCAAGGGTTAACCTTGGGTTAACCCACCCAGCTGCTCTCTCACTGCCCTTCCTCAACAGGACAAAATAGGATGAAAAATCTTGAGGATCAGTATAAAAGCAGGGCTATCGCTTCCCCTTCAGGGAAAATGTGCACTAGCCTGGGCTTTCCGTGGACTGCAGGTCCTTCAAGAAATATCCACAAGCTCTGGCCTGGCTTCCTCCACAACTCTGCATTGTGGATATCTGCTCCAGCATGGTTCTCTCCAGGGGCTGCAGGGATATAACTGTTTTACCACGCTGTCTCCATGGTCTGCAGGGGAACCTCTGCACTGGCACCTGGAGCACCTCCTCCCCCTCCTTTACTGACTTGGGAGTTCACAGGGCTGTTTTTCACATTCTTTTCCCCTTCTTCTCTGCCTGTGTGGTGTTTTTCCCCTTTCCTAAATACATTTTCCCTGAGGTGCCACCAGCACGGCTGAGAGAGTCAGCTGTGCCCTGCAGTGGGTCCATTGGAACTGGCTGTGTCCAGCACAGGGCAACCCTTGGCCTCTTCTCAGAGACCTCACCACTACCTGCTGTCGTCCCACTACCCAAACCTTGCCACCTACAACCAATACAGCAAAGCATTAAATAATTTATACATTGGAAAGTGTTTGTGCATATGTGCAGCTTTGTGTCTTTTCTATCTCAAAATAGATTCTGCTGTTCTGTTGAAAATTCGAAACATACTTCTTGAATATGAACAGATAATAGAACGTGAAAAAAATCGGTATACAGCTGTCTGGAGAGAAGTAAGGAAATTGGAAAGTGAAAAGAAGGAGTCACAATTAATAGAAGAGACTCATGATTTGAAATCCATATTGGCTCACCAAGAAGTGGAATGGAAAAGTGATATACAAAACCTTAAGTATGTAACCTTGCATTCCAATATTGTGTTATCCTGTCAGTGTCACCTCCCAGAAGATGCTAATGGTACAAGTGATAGGATGAGAAGTTTCTAATCTTCTGGGCTTGGATTTTTTGAATCCCATGGGCAAGTTATGTTATAAAGGACATAATGTCAGGGGAAAGAAATGCCTGGATATTAGCTCCATGTAAAATCTTCTGGATGTTGTTTTTTTAATAGCAAGAGAAGAGAACAAGAGAGTACGTATGGGAAGATGAGATCGTATAAGAGAGATTTATATGCCATACGTATTGTTTTATTTTTTCTTTGCAGCTTCTGTTGGTGTATAATATTAGGAATTCTGATAACTCCACAGAATGCAACTCTGAACAGAGCTTAGAGCATTTGCTTGCTTGCTTGTTTATTTGAAAGGTTAAATTTGGGATTGCCCCTTTCCCCATACTCCTGAGCTAGACCTGGATGGTGTGAGGTTTTTAATCACTGCTCACATCACTTCAGACAGGAGTGGCCAGTAGGCACCATATGAAATTCAGCAAGGACAAATGCAAAGCCTTGCACCTGGGAAGGAAGATCCCCTTGTGATGATGTACCATGGTCTGGGGAGCTGCTGAGAGGGTCCTGGTGGTCTTGGCAGAGAGCAAGCTCAACATGAGCCAGCGTGAGCTGGCAGCTGAGAAGGCCAGCAGCATTCTGGGCTATATTAAGTGCAGCAGAGGCAGGAGATTGAGGAGAGTGATTGTCCACCCCTACTCAGCGCTTGCTGCACTGCATCTAGAGCACTGGGTCCAATTTTTGGCCTCCCAGTACAAGAGAGACCTTGATCAATATGTGTGAGTTCAGCAGAGAGCTACCAAACCCAGTCAGGGAGCAGGAGCACCAGCCCTGTGAGAAGATGCTGGGGGAACTGAGCTTCAAGGAGTCGTACCTCCCAGTGTATGGACCACATGTCCTGGATTTGTCTCCAACTGTTCTTCAAAATTTTCAAGTATCTATCAATTACAAAGAATTAATACTTTATTTCTAAATAAATTCTCAAAGTAGTGTTACCTTTACACTTACAAAAGGTATACTTCTTAGTGTAATTTCACAAGAAGTATATGTAAAGCTTTTTCCTTGCAATATACACCGTTCAAATACAAATGTTTCTGTCAGTCTTTGGAGTAATTAGTGGTCGCTGATACCTGTTTTGCAGAATTTCTTAAGCAGATTTTCTAATTGGCAGCTCTCCTTATATTAATACTTGATTTTTTTCTTGTTGACTGTTGCAAGGATATCAGAAAAAATATTAAAAATAATTATCAGACATAAAACTGCTTTCTTGTTTGGGTACCACGAACACACCATGGACCATTTTTTACCGTGTTGTTGCTTATTGCTGACTGTTTCAGATAGTAAAGAAGTTGACATTTCCTAAGGCTTTCATTATAAAATAACTTCAAAATTAAATTGCTGTTGTTTCTCCCAGGTGTAGATCCATCGAGGTTTAAAACTATTTTTAATCATATTAAGCTTAAACCGTATGCATTTCTAAATCTATTTTTGAACACTGACCTCATTCTTGAGTAAATAGAAACTGCTTGCTCTTTGTATGGGCAGCAGTTGTTTTAGACTTATAGAAGGCTTGCTAAAAAATCATAGGTCTGTCATAGGTAAGTGGTGTGCTGCTTCATCAGTATCACTTGCCATCACTGAATCACTAATATGTAGGCAATGCTCAGCATATTAAGAAAATGTATATTAATCATAGTAAAAGTTTACGATGCTTTGATCTGATAAGCTAACTCCTTTTGAATGAAGTGTCTGTAATATGAAGATGATTTTTTTTAAGGATTATAGAAATGTGCATACTAGACTATATTTACCTATGTAAACTTACTTACAAATAAATGATAAATAACTCAACGGTTTATTTCTGTATGTTGTACAACTGATACCATGGATAATGGAATGAAGTTAGAGGGTTTTTAAAAGTTAAAAATGACACTAAAAATACGAAATCTGAAACAATTTAACATTTTTATGGTTTAAGTTGTTTCTGCAAGTTCAGAATCTAGAATATCTACTTTTTATATCAGTACTTTAGTTTCTCAAATATTCTGTTAAATCCCAGATTTACTTTGCAACAAGAAGAGGAAAAGAGGCTCAGAGCAGAAACACTATATGAGAAAACAAAAGAAAAACTCAGAAAGAAAGAAGATCAATATTGTAAAGAGATGGAGGAGAAACAGCAACTTGAGTTACACTCAAGGAATTCAGAAATGGAGTTAATAACATTGAGAAAGCTCTTGAAACAGGTATACTAAATAATGACTTAAACACTTTTCTTATTTTTTGCTTCTTCTTAATTCGCATTGAATTCCCATATGCCTAAAGAAGGAGATACCTTCTTCATGGAAGAGGCATTGGATAGCTATTGCCAAATTTTGAGGACAGTTGAGAACAGTTCATTCACAAGTGGACTGTTCTTTTTTTCCTTTGCAAGTTCATTATTCCTTTTCTCCTTTTTCAAAATTTAGGTTTCATTTGTATTTTGAGCAAAGCCTGACTTTGACTTATTTTTCTAAATTACTACAAAACATTCTGTTTTTCTTCTGAATTTTTCAGAAGAAAATTGAAATTTTTTCTGTATAGATGAATTACCATAACTGTGGCGAAGCAAAAATATTTGAATGGGAAGATATTGCTCGCTCTGATTCTTCTCAAGATGCAAGTTGTTTATTTGTATTACTGCAGGTTGAAGAAGAGCGTGATGAAACGCAGAGGCAGCTCTCTCAGGAAAAGAGTGCCAGAGCCCTGCAAGAAGGAATTTTGAACAACCACCTTTGGAGAGAGAAGGAACTAGAAGAAGAGACAAGAAGAACTATAGGAAAAAATTCAGAGGTAAGCAGATATTTTTCTAATTAACTACATTTCACCATGTTAGTTCTAAAATTGTAATAAATCTTATATTTTTTTTCTGCTTCTTGATGGATTATTTACAGCTTACTAATGTAATTTAACTGTTTTTCCTTATGTCTTTAAAAATTCTGGAAAGCGGCATCAGTCCTGTATGTACCTGAATTGCCTGTGCATGTAGGAAGCTAATAGAAGACACTATTTACCCTATTTCTTAAGCTATCTGTTATTTTTCATTTCATAGACATTTTATCATCACTTTTTAAGGTTTCTAGTAGTGAAACACCTAGCTACCTATGTCAAGGTTGACAGGAAGAAAGTTGTTTGACACTCACTCTTCTGTTCCCATTACTTGGGGTTTTTTTAATTACTTATTCCCTTATCAAATTTGCTTACTTCAAGTATGTCTGTCTTTTCCACCTCCACATATTAAAATTCTATGAAGGAGTTTCAGCAATGAATTAAATTCTCTGTAGGAGTTAGAATAATAGGAGAAGAAAAAGCAATCATAAGCATTTTATTAAAAAAGAAAAATCTTGAAAAGTGTTCACTGAATTTACTAAGAATGTGCAGTGCTTGGAAGAATTACTTGTTCTTGTCTGTGCTGCCCAATAAATGTAGGGTGAATATGTTTATGTGGAAAAAAGGGGGGTTTTTGTGGGGTTTTTTTCACATATGTATAAAAATAAATAGGAAATAAGACAACTATTCCATTCCAGGGATGATTGAGTTGTATAAATAACTTTCAGTGACACAAAAGATAAGTGTTATGAAGACATTTGACAACTGAAACAAGATGAAATGTAGCATTTATATTTGTTGCAATTTTTCTAAATGTCCTAGAAGGAAAATACCCTTTTTAGCCTTCTTTTTACTAGATTTGTAACACAGCTACATTAATAAAAGGGAATGTTTTAAAGGCATGCACATTCAAGAAAGCACTGTCACTTTGAAAGCTTTATACTTGAGAAGTTTTCAATAATTTTATTATTTGGTGGTTGTTTTAAGAAAAAAAAAAAGGCATTGTATATTTGGGATATTCATTTAGGTTTTAAGGGTATGTTACACTTCCAGTGTGTGCATACATTGTACATGTGCATGGGTTCATAGACTAGCTTATGAATTACCTGAAATTTCACTCTCATCTTTGAAGTCATGCTTCTGTATTAGAAATTTCTAAAATGCAGCTTGATGCTGAAGTGGTTTTGTGGATTCATTTCCCAACTGGCTATTTATTCATGTTCCTTGTCATTCAGGAATCTGACACTGAGAGAGAAAAGGATCTATTGTTCAAAAATCAGTTATTACAAGATGAGATTGCTATGCTGAGACTAGAACTTGATCAAGTAAGACTTAGGCACCAGGAGGAAGAAGGAAAATATTTAGAGGAAAATGAGACCTTGAAAGAAAAAAATGAAGACCTCAAAAAGGAACTTAAACTGAACGAGGAAGCCTTAACGCAAACAGTTTTTCAGTACAATGGACAGCTGAACTTATTAAAGACAGAATCTGCAGTGCTAACTTCCAAGCTTGAGCAGACAAAAGAAAGCAAAGACAGACTGGAGACAGAAATTGAATCATTTCGTTCCCGCCTGAACACTACTGTTCAAGAACTTGAACGTCATCAGTCATCAAAAAGTGATGTCGAACGAACATTTCAGAGAGAACGTGATGAGTGGCTTCGCTTGCAAGACAAGCTCCATCATGACCTCTCTGATGTGCAAGAAACCAACAAGATCTTGTCTCAGCAGCTGAGCAAAGCTGAAAGCAAAGCTAATAGTCTAGAAAATGAGCTTCACCAGTTGAAACAAATGCTCAGAGAAAAAACATTGCTTTTAGAAATGACACAAAAAGAATTAAGTCAAGCCCAGTGTCAGGCAAAGGAATGTGATCATGCTCGACAACTTGAGAAAGATCAAGTAAGCAAATTTATAATAAAGCAGGAATCAATGCAGGAACGATTGGCCCAGCTCCAGAGTGAAAACCTTTTGCTCCGTCAGCAACTGGAAGATGTGCAGAACAAGGGGATCATTAAAGAAAAAGTAGTGAATGATGTGCAGGACCGGTTTAATGATATTTTCAACAAACTCAGAGCTGATACCGAAAAGCAAGTTTACCTAGTGGAAGAGAGAAACAAGGAATTAAATGCCAAATGTACTGATTTAAGAGAACAAATCTTTAAATACGAGACTGACAAAGTAGAAAGAGAGGTAAAGTATACACTTAGAAAGAATACTTTAAAGTTTGTCAGTTCTTGAAATTATTTTTGTTTCTAAAATGTACCATGTATAAGTTATACATCTGGGACCAAATAATGCTGAGTTGTTCTGATCTGTCGTGTTTATGGAAGGTTTTGGCAAATGGGCTGTTACTGCTTAGATCTGAGCAGAGAACAGAAAAAGATATCCAAGTCTAAGCTTTGACCAAGAAAGATGATTCTTCTCTACAACTTTTTTCATCTCTTTTCCTTTGTCCGTTTTATGCCCTATAGAATAGTTTTATGTATTTGATGGGTTTTATATGTATTGCACTGATGACACAAATAAGAGTGGTAGAAAAGGAAGAACCATCCAGTGTGCAAGGGTTGAGAGTTAAGATGCAGGCAGTGAAGTGATGGGGGATTAACTTTTATTAAGCTCCTACAGAGAAAAAAAATTGCTTCTCCATAAGTTGCTATCAAAATTGAAGAGTATTAGTAGTGACCAGGTGTTAATGTATGTATTTGTTTTGGGGGTTCTAAGGGGACTGCCTGTTCCTCAAAGTTTATTTCAGACACAGACCTAAGCTTTCTCTTCTCTGTTTTATGATGTGTAGCCATATTTAAATGTGTTCGTTCTTTGTGGCTTTGAAAGATTAACTGGATGGAAGACTAATTAGGAAATCAGTTAAACTGTCTTTCTGCAAATTGACACAGTACATGAGTATGAGACATGCTCCGTTGCAGAGCACTAGCATAATTTTATGTCGCTCAAACATGCATGAACGAAGTGGTGCTCCCATTTCTGCATGTAGATAGTTTTTGTCAAGGAAAAAGGGTGGAAGAAAATGAAGGCGGGGGTAGGAATGACGAATAGCTGTATGTAATGGGAGAATGCATTACTGTATATGTTCTTAGCAGTAGCTAGGGTCTTCTCTGTTGATAGACTATTCTACCAATTCCAGGTAGAGCAATGATTTACAAGTTGCCTTACCCATTTTGTTCAATCCTTCTTTGCTTTCTGAAAATAGGAACTAATTCAATTCAGTATTTAGACACTGGTGTAAGGTTTGTCTCCCCTAATGATTTAAATGGTGATTGGAAATTATATTTCCTTCTTCATAACATATGCAGAATCTTTGAGTGAGGTAAATATCTGCATGTGTTAGATAACCGCCTTATTCTTCATTTAAGGGGAGAGGTGGGGGGGAAGGGGGTGCAGAGGGAAGAACTCCAGCAGTGCTGTCACTCATTTTAATCTGTGAATTGCTTTGTATTCTTACTACCAAAGTAACAAGTTCCTTTTGAAGGTACTAGATAAATATATGAACTGCCCATATTTTTCTAAACCTAATCTGTCAGTATAAAGGCAGTGGTGGTTCTGAAATGAACTTGGTAAGAAGACTGCAAGAGGAGGATGTGATTCAGCATACACTTAAAGTGTACCTCAAAAGAGCTTTCAGATATATGTATTCATTCAATTATATTTGCATAATGGAGGACTAGAACAAAGAACAATCTAATACAAATTCCTGCCTTTGGTAGTCAGTAATACCTGCAGTCAAACTATAGCTCCTATATTGCAACAGATTTCTTTGGGTTTTGTTAGAAAAAAATACGTGACTGCAGTATGTGCTTGTGTTTTGTTCAGCAAAGAGTAATACTTGAGCATTTTTATGTATTAGGAAATGGAAATCTGCATGAACAGCTGCTGACAGTCTGCTGCACATTTCTCAGCTGAGAAGGATGAAGATAGGTCATAATCTGTGCAGATGCCTGCTGGTGGCAGGCAAAATTTCATTCTTTTGAGTTCAGTCCAAAGACAGGTCTAATTGTATAATCAGATAAGTTAAAGTAAAGGCATATTTCATGTTCTTACAATTTTCTTCACACTCATTTAACTGTTTCATTAGGGCATGGTCAGACAGCTGCAGCAGGAGCTTGCCGATGCGCTTAAAAAGCAATCTATGTCCGAAGCTTCACTTGAAGTTACTACACGCTACCGCAGTGACCTGGAGGAAGAAAAATTGCACTTGCAAAAAGAATTGGAAAAGGTTAAAACCAAGGTATGTAATGTTTGTAATTATATGAATAGATCTGAGGGTGGCTGTTGAAAATAGGAACGAATGTTGTCCTAAAACCTAGAAGAAACTTCAACATAGGTTTAATGATGTGTGAATGAATTGCACTGTTTTATAGACTTGGTGTCAATGATCGGAAGGTCTTTGACATGAGGACACAATGTCCTTACTTGGACAAAGATTGTATTTGCTAAGGTGCTTTGCAAAACAAACTGATGTGTCTATAGCTTATGGCATTTGGCTTGGCCAAGCAGGTTGTCTGATTTCCGAAGAACAGTAGAAACAGTGCGCTGCTGCATTTGGGCCTTTTTAAGCTGTCTATGCTTCCCTCCTGCCCCCACCACCAAGTAACATGTTGTCAATTCTGAATGCTTTTTTAACTTATTCTGCATATATCTTTTCCACTACCCCAACCCCCCAGCTTATTTGGCCCTGATGTAATTTGCCATTGCTAAGGCCTTCTTGCAAGTGAATTGTAACCTACTTTCTGAGGTGGGGACCACCTTTTGCAGTGTTCTTATGAAAACTGAAGTATAGAGGGCCTTGGAGTTCTGAAATAGAAATCATCTTAAATCTCCTGTCAGGGAGTTGTGATGTCTTTAGGAGAAGGATGAACTTTTCAATTAATATTTTCAATGGAGGAGCAAACAAGTGGATACAAAGAGTGTCGCAAGTCGTTGAAAGGCTGGGAGGGACAGTGTCGGTGCTTAGAACCATGCTCTAGGAAATCAATGTAGGGATGGCAGAGGCCAGTACAAAAGATGAAGAAGTGTAACACAGTTTGTATTCATTTGCTAGTAGAAGTGCAGGTTTGAATGTACTTGAAATGATTACGGTTTTTTGAGTAGAGGGTATGTGCAGATATATGCAGTACTTGAATTCTTCAGCAGCAGTTGACTCCTCTGTATAAAAGCTCACCTGACTACTGTGGACCCTTACTGTGATTTTACAGTTGCGGGAGTTGGAAGAACAGCATCTTCAGTCTGAGCATTGTGTTCATGACTTGAAGACTGCCTTGGATAATAAGGAAAGAGAAGTCATAGCTTCTTCCCAAAAACTGCAGGACCTCCTGTTGGCATCTTCTGGGACCAATACTACTATAAAACAACTGGAAGAACATGTGCAACAGTAAGAGAATAACACAGGGAAGCAAGATGTCTGTCGCTTTCTGGGCTTGTGTGAAACAACAGGATAGCCTTGTTGCATCACAGCAAGTTAATACGCGATGTTGAAGGATACTTTTGTTTTAGATTATGTTATTTCACACTGTTCTTTCAGAATTTGTGCTCTGATGGATTTCCATAATAAGACCTGTATTTCTTTTTAAGCCTTGAAATTGAAAATGCCAGATTGGAAGCCACAGTCCAGCAACAAAGCAATAGGATTGAAACCCTTCAGAGGGACCTGCAAGCGTCTGCCTCAGTAAGAAGCTGATCATAAACTATCCTTTTTGTGAGCTCCTGAACCTAGTTACCAATTTCTGTGGGGAGATTGTAAGATGAGGTTTTGCCACATCGCCTAGGGGAACTCAGTTCCTGCGTTCTACTGAATATAGGTTGATCAGAAAGCAGCCTGGTCCATTCCCCAGCTTTCTGGTTATGAGAGTTTTCCCATGCTACTATAGCAAGTCCTACTTAACACTCTAAAAGGTAAGGATTTGACACTAATATGCTGGTGTAACTATTGCCTGCTTTAGACCCGTCATGACACCAGGTGCTGCTTCAGACACTTGTTGCAATGTGTATCATTAAAGGTATTCATCAAGTTAACTCGTGGAAATTCCACAGGGGATATTGATGCCAAGTGCTTCATGCCAGTGGCTTGACTGTCATCATCAGACTGGAACAAAAATTATATTCCCCAGAACTTTTGCTGTGCAGAAGTGCTTTTCCTTTGGCCACTTGGTGTGTGTTTGTTTTCATGAAACAGTGAAGAGGAATGCCTGTGGTATCATTTGCAGAACTCAGTGCAAGCCTTCGAATTTCCCAGTGCCTCTATGCAGTGGTTAATTTTAGCTCAGAAAATGTGCTTTCATCTGTGACCTGTATGAAGCAAATTATTTTTGTATTGTAACTAGTGAACTAGGGTTCTTGTTATGACTGTAGTTGTTAATTAGTGCTGAAGAGATTTTGAAAATAACTACATGTGAAAGCTGAACTTTGTGATATACTGATACTGATGAGAAGAGGGAAGGCAGTCACGATTAATAGGGCATGGTTTTCAAATGTACTGTGGATGAGAAAAGTTACTCATGCCTTTTTTCGCTGAAGATTCTTTGTATCCTGCATGGTGTTCTCTCTCCCTGAAGCAAACAGCAGAGGTGACGATTGCTAACAACTTTATAGTGGCATCAAACTAAGGCCATTTTGATCATTGGTGTAAATACTGTAGGAATGAAGAGGTGTATGTAACTTTTATTTTTGGAAATGAGGTGTAAACTTCAGTCTCAAAAGTCATAATGTTTCTTCTTGCTTCTTTTAATGCTTCTGTAGGTTCATAACCGCCTGGAAGACTTGATAACTGGTTTACAGACAGCACAGGCGGCTATAGAGGACCACCACCATCAGCAGGTACGTGACTGGCTTCTGTGAATGACTGTTTTAGTCTTTGAATTTTTTGTGTGCAAGTAATTGATGAAAAGATCGGGTGGGCTGTGTAGTCACAGTTCATCCAACAAATACCCTTTTCGTTTTAGGGCAAGACACCCTCAAGGGAAGAGGCTGTAAATTTCCTCATTCCCTTGCTGCTGTGTTTTGTATCTGTGTGGTGGTGTGCAAGATACTTTTGTTCATCAGTGTGACTCATTTGATGAATTCTCTCCCCCATCCCACCAGAGGGGAGTGAGCAAGTGGCCGTGTGGTGCTTAGCTGCCTACTGAAGTTAAACCATGGCAGTTGATGGGTAGGATGGATGTGGGCAGGGGCAAGATCTCTGGCTGAAAGCTGAGAGAGGAAACTGGACTTGGGAGAACCATGTTATCTTTGCAGCTTTGTCAGAGCTTGCCCTTGAGACCATGTTAGTATCTGTCATAAGACCCAGCATTTCACCTGCCCTGTAAGGACACTTGAGAAAGTTGTACACCCTGAGAATTTTTTATCTAAGCGCTTATGCTTTGGTTTTCATGACTTTCTATAGCTCAGTAGGCATCTTGGTTTTTGGTTGGGCTTTTTTTTTTCCTTCTTACAGAATGCCACTAAAAGCATCTAGTCAACTTGCATTCTTTATGCTTGAACTAAACTGGCAAATCTGTTCCACTCAAATGCATCTGTTAGGCAAATCTTTGTCCCTTTGGGTAGAAGCATAAATACCATTGCTGATTTGAAAACATTTTCTTGCTCTTGGGAGATATACAGCTGTTACAGAAGCAGTGAGGGTAGGGTATTTTCTGTGGTGGGCAGTAGAGGAATTGTTATATTATAAAGTATGTATCATTATGAACTCCGGAGGACCTATGGAAGAAAGTTGTAGGGTGATTTTTTTGTGTGCATATGTCTTAGCCCCTAAAGTTGCAGCCTCACCTTGTCATTTCCTTCCACCAGCTTCAATTGCTGTTCTTGTTCTTTAGTGTTTCCTGAGGTGTGTTTTACATTCTGCATTAACCTTAACTGTAGATCTTGGATGGGGAGAGGAAACCTTAGACCTGTTTCCAGTTAAGTTACTGCTTTCTATTGCAGTGTTGTCTTTCCAGTCACCTTATTTTTTTCTTTTGCCACAGTTGCTTTCACAGCTGCAAAAGCAGAATGTGCTGGCTCTGACATCAAAGGACTCGCGCAGCATGTGGGAAGAGCAACTGAAGTCAAGATCCCACCTTGAAGAGCGTGTTGCTCAACTTGACAGGGAAAAGGCTGAACTCTCGGAACAGGTGAGCCTAGAAAATTCTCCAGACACCTCAGCCAATACCCAGGAGAACTGTGTTCACCTTTTTGTCAAGTTCTTACACACTTGTTTTTTTCTGTTACCCTGCAGTTCAGGTGCTGAGTACCTTGTCATTTGGGGGTCATGCAGGAAGCAAATGAAAGCTAGCTGGATATCTTTGTGTAAATACTGGAGTGGTTCTATTGGGAAAAGTTTCCACTGTGGTTTGCTATCAGTTGAGCACATGGAGCAAGTGAGAACTGCAGTTCCTCAGTTCTTTCCTTGGTTTCCTTCTGGTCATCTTCTGACCCTGTGGTTTCTGGGCAGGATTAAAATGCTTCACGTTTCCAGTGCAATGCATAGAGGAGCTGCTGCGTGTTTTCATGGTAGCAGGTGGTAAAAGCCTTGCAGAAAAATGTGCTGAAGGAATTCTGGCCAAATGAACTAGTGCTTAGGAAACAGGAAACAGATGCCAGTTTCCAATGGGTAGTCTTTCCCTTTTCTCCTTTTCCATCGAGGAAAAATGGATGTACAAAGTCAAAACAGCTGCCTGTTTTGGCCAGCTGCTAGCTCTCCTTTGGTTTGGCTGAGAAAACACCAAGAGGAAGAACAACATGTGAATAAGTAAATAGCCATAGAGGAGACATGAAGGTAATGACAGAGAGGAATAAAATATTAAAGAATTTCAAAAGATCAAATTCTTCCACAAGCCTCTGCCTGCTGGTTGTTGAAGATCCCATGAAAGCTTCAGATTGGTCTTACGCTCTCCCACGATTTGCATACCTACATAATCCCTGCTATGAGCAAAGGAACTGCCAAAAGTGTTCTCCAGCATCTTTTCCGCCATTTTGCCTTGAAGCAGTAGAAGAGGGTGGCCTTTGCTCCAGTGGGGGCATCTGTTTCTGTTGTTAGGTATTGGCTTGTTTTAATCACTTCAGGTTTCAGATCAATGTTCTCGGGAATTTTGTCCCTTGGTGTTCTGTGGAACTTGGCTAACAGCTAGAGATGTACTGCAGCTTCTCTGTGGAGAACGCTAGATGTACATACTGCATGTAGATACTGTTCCTATGCTCTGTGTGTCATGTATCTTTTCTATTTTGAAAGTGTGAGAATGAAAGAAAGAAAGTGAAGAAGCTGGTAGAGTTGAAACGCTCAGTTGAACTGCATCTGGACCAAGAAATGAAAAGAAATATCGAACTGCAGAAAGACTGTAAGAGGTATGGCTTTTTAGTATGGCAAAGAGGTCAAGCTTTACTGAACTTTAACATAAAAATAGGTGTATGTAACTGTGAGCAAATTCAAGCTTCACGTTAGTTCCTGCAAGGCGCTTCTGTGCATGGGCCTATAGTTTTCAGTAGTTTCCAAAAGAACTGCAAATGCAGATTGCCCTGTGGTTTTCCTGGGAGGGAAGGAATTATCATTCTTCTTTTCAGGTGAAATTTGGACCCTCTGAATGATTTGTGGCACAGGAGTCCTGCCTTTTATTCCTCAGTAATTCATGGTGTGTCAAGCATGTTAAAGATGAAGCAAGCAAGCTATGTTTATGATCTTTACGTGAAAGTATGTGGAAAAGGCCAGTTGTTCCTTTGCTTCATTGATTTCTTGAATAATTTTCTGTGCAGGTTGAAGAGGCTTCTAAACAGAGCTATGAAGAAACTAAGGGTGTATGAGGGGAGAGAGAGAGAGTCCCAGCTTAATTTGCAGGGAGAAATGAAGAACAGATATTCTGAAATGGTCAGTGAAGTTGGTAGATTAAGAACAAAGGTGAGTGCTGGTTTGTTTGGGGTTTTTGGTGGTGGTGTGTTTTCTTTTGAAACCTGTGTTATCCTTTCCCTATACTTCTTTTCATGTTGTTGATTTTTGTTTTCCTGACTGTCTTTTGGAATTGATTGACTTTTCTTGATGCTCTTTCTACTGTTACAGTAGTAGATGACTATAACTAATACTGATGTAGTTGTTATTACAGGTACAGATGAAAATGTTATATGCAAGGCAGTATCTGCAAGGGCACATCAAGGGCAAGCTGTCCTGTAGAGGAAGGTTGAGCCGAAAGTCACAGCAAAGCTGGCAGGTTCTGTGACCTTACGAGCCAGGGAACAGTCCCACAGGCCCTCACTAAGAAGAGCAGAACAGGTCCAGTGACAGTAAGTGGGATCAGCCAAGAGTGCAGATCACCAGGCCAGTCCATAGGGACACGCAGGTCTGCAGTCCAACCAGGACATCAAGTCCACGGTTGAGGGTCAGGGCTGAGAGCTGTGAGGGCCAGCACAGGCCTGGCTGCAGCTTGAGGCCATAGCAGTATCTTAGGTCTGACAAATGAATCCCTTCTCTGGAAGAGTGGGGAGCAACACCACCATAACTCAAACAACTGCATGAAGTTAGCTTTGCCCAAGATTACCTGTTGAGCCCTGTCCTAGGCATGAGTTGAGCATGAGGCAGTTGAGGTTTTGTTTTTCTAAACGGTGTCATTGCTTCCCAGGACACAATGCAGTAAGGTGCTGCAGAAAAAGTTGTGTAACTTATTGCTCTCTAGACTATTTGTCTCAGCCCATCTTTCCCTTGTCATGGGGACCCAGAAGTAGAGTTTCCAGGAGTGCTTTTCAGGTTGCTCTGGCTGTTCAGTAGCCTGTAACCTTTTATCTACTTCTCTGCTCCTTACTCAGATTTATTGCTAAAGCACCTGTGTTTCAGAGCTATGTTTGTGTTTAGAAGGTACTGTAGAACGAGTCAACTGCCTTTGCGGTGGCTCATGTTCAGTCCAAAAGTTAACAGCACTTTTGTGTTTCTGTTGGAAGAGTTATTTTAAATGACAGGGAAGGACATTACTTTTAGGCAGTTTTAAATAAGTCTGAAGCTTCTACTTTCTGCTAGAAACTCTTTCAAGTGCTTACTATGCTAGTTTCCCCCACTTTTTTTTAATAAAAACAAGACATCTTGTTTTATGTTCAATAGGTATAGAAAAGGTATGTTTCCAGAGGGGGGAAGAAGAGGATGATGCTGTAGTTGACCATTGGGACCTATTGAAAGTCTGATATTTCCTGCAAATTTTTGAAAATAAACTGCAGCTTTGACCTAGAGAGAGTATGTCTTCCTCCGCGACTGCTGTAAAAGCTGTGCTCTGAACCACTATTTACAAATCTTTCAGTGTAGTGGAAAAACAGAATATCTGTTTCTTATCTCATCAGTTCTGTAATGAAGCTTTGACTGTGTTCACAGCATGTAACAATTCCTCTAAAGCATGATACATCTTGTTTCTGATGAAACCAGAAGGTGGCTAGGTATGGGTGTGTTTGATTTCCCATAAGCATATGAGCATCTCATGGAAGAATAGTCCTAGTGCTTTTCAACCTAGCCCTATGGGTGAAATGCTACTAGTTTGGTACCCCTTGATCTGTGACCTACTGCAGAAGAACTGAGAAGGGATGGGAACTTGAGAGATCCTATCACAAATTATGTGAAAGCTATTCTGGTTTTAAAAGAAGAGCCTGGTTTCACTTTGGTTTTAATACTGAGTTAGAAGATGACAAATACAGTCTTGATGGCCAACCCCTCTACAGATTTTCACAGAATTCACTAATTTTAGATCCCTCTGAGTTCCTTTCTTTTTTTGTGTGTGTATGCTGTCTACAGATTGGTGAACTTTCCCAGCAGCTGGAGATAGAGTCTAAAAAATGCATGCAGCTAGAAGCACAAAATCAGGATTTGCGAGAAGAGTTGTCCACCATGCGTGGGAACCATGAAAAACTGGAGAAGAGCAAATGCCAGCTGAAAGAAGAAGTGGCTAACCTCAAACATCGCTTGGAGACTAACATGGTGGATCACAATCAAATAGAACAATATAAAAGAGAGATGGAAGAACGAGCCGGACAAGAAATAAGACAAAAGCTACAAGAAGTTAATCTATTTTTGCAGGTAGGTGAATTTCTCATTTGTGTCTGTAGTCTCTCTTACATGCTTTTGTTGTTGTTGTCACTTTTTAGTATTCTATTTTTGGTGCCTGATTCTGTGTGTTAGTGCTGTACTTCTCTCTTTTCTGAAGGGCAGTGGGAGAAGGGAATGTGGTTGGGCAAGAATGCTTTCATGTGTGTGTAATGTGTCTGCAGGTCCCTGAATTAAAAGCTTGCCCAAGGTAGATTTCCACTTTGCAGGTCTTCGCGGGGGGGGGGGGGGGGGGGGGCGGGGGAACCGCCGCG